AAAAAGTTATTTATTTATTTTTATTTTATGTGTATGCGTGTATTGCCTGCATGTAGGTAAGTGCATCCGTGTCATGCAATGCCCGTGGAGGTCAGAGAAGGCTGTCGGATCCCCTGGAACTGGAGTTACAGACAGTTGTTAGCTGCCATGTGGGTGCTGAGATTCAAACCCAGGTCTTCTGCAAGAACACCAGTGTTCTTAACCACTGAGCCATCTCTCCAGCCCCAGATTCTAGATAGGTTTTTAAGCTGATAGTCCTTTAATTGCTATCTCTAAGGAAAGGCAGAAGAGCAACTGGTCCATCCTCAGGATGCTGGATCCTATTGGGGTCAAAGCAGTTGGAGCCCATTGGCCTCAGTGTTTTACCAGCTTCTCAGTTCCCCAATAGACCCATGCCTGTGTCCTTTAGTCAAACAGGAAAGCCAGAATCGTACTGTTAAGGAAAGAGGGATGGTGACGAAAAGGAAAAAGTGGTCCTCATGTTCTACCACAGGACACTTGTAACTCTAGGATTCTGGGTTCTTCCCAAAGAGGTTCTGTCTAAGAGATCTATACCCATCTAAGGCACAATACCCAAATAACACAAACCCAATAGCCTAGCTACCCCTGCAATTGTACTTAGATTCTAATTTTTTTTTCTTAAATTTTTTTGGAATAAGACATTACTATGTTGTCCAGGTTGGCCTCAAATTTCTCATTTCAAGTGATCTCCACTTTAGCTTCTTGAGGAGAGATTTTAGATATATTTTGAAGTTACAAACATCATAATTTGTTTTGGATTGTATATTAAGAGTGAAAGACAAGAGTGACTTCAGAATTGATTAGCTAGAACTGATACTCGTGTGTGTGTGTGTGTGTGTGTGTGTGTGTGTGTGTGTGTGTGATGTTGATGCTGGAGCTTGAACCCAGGGCTTCATGCACGCTAAGCATGTTCATGCCACTGAGCTATACCCCAAAGCCCTGGAATTGCCTTTTTAACTGAAATAGGAAAGATAAAAGGTAGGAAAGATGAGGGCCATACACAATGTTAAGCAGGGGCTGTGGAGATGACGCACTGGGTAAAATGCTTACTGACAAGCATGAAAACCTGAGTTCCGATCCCTGGCACGCATGAAAAAAGCCATGTGTAGGGAGTAGCAAGCACCTGTAATCCCAGTGCTGAGAGGAGGATTCCAGGGGCTCACTGACCAGCCAGTCTAGCCAATATGTGAGCTCCAGGTTCAGTGAGAGTTCAGGATGGAAAGTAACTGAGGAAGATAACCTAATGCTAACCTTTGGCCTCCATGTGTGTACCTGTACACACATGTGCACATGCACACACACATAAAAGAAAAAGAGCAAGTTAAGGAAGTAAGGAAGGAGGTGGTGAAGATCAGAAATTTTGTTCTGGACTTGTTATGCTTGAGATGTCCATTAGACATTTAGTAGAGGTATTGAATATCTTGGATATGAGTCTGGATTTCCGGGAACTAGAGAAATGGCTGTTAAGAGCACTTTGCTCCTCTTCAGATCACCTGAGTTCAGTTCATAGCACCCATATTGGATGACTCACAACTGCCCATAACTCCAACACCAGGGGATCCAGTGCCCCCTTCTGGTTTCCATAGGCGTCTACATACGCATCTTCTTTCTTTTTTTTTTTTGTCTTTTTGAGACAGGGTCTCTCTGTAGCCCCAGCTGTCCTGGAACTCACTATGTAGACCAGGCTGGCCTCGAACTCACAAAGCTCCACCTGCCTCTGCTTCCCAAGTGCTGGGATTAAAGGTGAGTGCCACCACGCCCAGCTTATTTATCATTTTTATTTTATGTGTATGAGTGTATTGCCTGCATGTATGTGAGTGCACCCATGTCATGCAATGCCGAGGAGGTCAGAAGAGGGCTTCAGATTCCCCTGGTCCTGGAGTTAAGGATGGTTCGTAGCCACCATGTGGGTGCTGGGACTCAAACTGGGGTCTTCTGCAAGAGCAGTCAGTGCTCTTAATTGCTGAGCCATCTCTCCAGCCCCAGGGTCTCTTTCTTAAGACAAGATTCTCATGTTTTTGTTTCTTAATGAACTCTGGGTTTTTCCATCTCATACCTTTATATGGGTTCTGTTGATTGAACTCAGGTCATCAGGCTAGCATGCTAAGCACTTTTACTACCTGAGGCATCTTGCTGGCCCTATAAGTCACACAGCTTATATGGGGCCAGGGAGATAAGAGGAGCCAGCAAAGGAAGCAGTTGAATTAGCAAGGCTAGAAGAAAACCAGGCAAGTGTTCAAGCCTGTTTGAGACACTTCAGTGGTGCCAAATTCACTCTGATAGATAGCTGAAGACCCTATGATGGGATACAGGTCATGGGATCTAGCACCAGATCCCTCTGTGGCTTTCCCCCTTACCCTTTCATACTCTGCTTCTACTCTACTGACCTCCACCACTCTTCCTTGAACTTGTCAAGTTCTTTCCTGTCTCAGGGCCTTTGCACTGGCAATTCCACATGCCTGAAATGCTCTTTTTCCAATATCTTGTTGGTTAATTCCTAAACCTCCTTCAAGTCTTTTTTGTCTGGTGATGGGAGAAGGGGAGTAACAGGGTTTCATGCACTCAGAAACTCATGTAGATGAGGCTGGCCTTGAACTCCTGACCCTCCTGCCTCTACCTCACAAGTGCTAGGATTACAAGCATGTATCACCATGGCAAGCTATCTTCCAAGTCTTGCTTAAATGTAGGTTTCATTCATTGCTTTGGTACTGAAACTTGCTCTCCTTCATTCCCTTCCTTCGCCTGCTGCCACTCACCATCCTCCTTAGGTGCTCTACTTTTTTCCATATCGTGTCACCTTCTATCTGCCATTTCAGCTTGACTGTGTTGTCTGTCTCCCCTACTAGGAGGTAGGTCTTCTAAGATTAGCAATCTTTATTTTCTTCATCTCCAGATCTCTGTGCTTAGAATGGTACCTGTTCTGTACCCAGCATGGAGGGAATGCTCAGTAAATGTTTTCTAAATTAATTTAGCTCGGGAGCTCATTCCACCCTCATAGTCTCTCTGGCTATTTCAGGACACCTGGAGGCAGATGAGTATCTCATGGGTGTGCAAGAATAGCACCTTTTACTCCAGCATACTGGCCCAGGTACCTCTGGCTGCCCCAGTAATCCTCAGAAGGTTTCAGGAATGGGCTTGGAGTCTTTTTTTTGTGTAGCACTGTGGGAAGGAGACAATTCTCCCGTCCACTGTTAAATGGCACATTGAGATCTGGGCCCTAAAGCAGTTCTACTGGCTGAGTCTTATGTATGTTTCCTTGGAGAACTTAAACCACAGCGTCAGGCCAGTTCGGATACCCTATTTGTCATATCACCCTTTCCACTGTCCCTCATTCCACTGCCCCAGCTCCTCTCTACTTGAAGCCTGAAAAACAAAATGGTCTTTGCATGTCAGCTCACTGATGTAGAGCCCCATGGAACCAAAGCAGAGATAGCAGGACTCTTCACAGTAGAGTCCTTAGCAGGGGTATGAATGCATTCAGCTAAGAATTAGGAAAAGCATTTTGCTAACTTCTGTACCAGGAAACCAGCCGTCACAAACCTCCCTGGGGTTCCAAACCTGTCTATTCTCACAACTGCACAGTAAGGCAGGCTAGGAATAGTAAGTTTTCTCCATGTGCACACCCGATGGACATTTTCTCAGGCATGCTGGAACTAATGTCTTATTTATTAAAGTAGTCTATTATCTCCAGAAGAGACTGCAGAGCCTGTTATCCAGCACCTCAAAGGTTGCTTCTTGATGGCAAAAGCTTTGAGAACAACATACTGGAAATTAGATCACAGAAGATAGGACTTTCTTCCCGCTGTACTGTGCTGGGACTCCTCACTGACCTCTGAGGGGAGGGAGCAAAACCAAATTAAGGACTGGACAGAACAGTGTTTTGAAATTCTGTCTTTTCCTGTGAGAGTTGTTTTGTGCCTAAGACACTCTTTAAAAGTATTTGTGTGTGTGTGTGTGAGGGGGGTGCTCACATACAGAGGTCAGAGGACAGCTGTAGGACTCAGTTCTCTCTTTCCACCATGGGTTCTGGAAATAATATACTCAAGTCAAAAAGCACAGAGTGGATGCTTTTACCCACTGAACCATTCCACCAGCTCTGAAGGATAATTTTTAGAACCCCTGTTAAACAACATAATTCTCAGTTCTAGTCCACCACATCCCAGGAAAGGGAAAATGTAATGTTAAGAGGGCAGAAGAGAGTTGTGGAGGAAGACTTTAGGTTAATGTAGATGTGTGTCCAGAACTTGTGAATGAAGAATTGGGGTGATTAAAAATAGTTCTCTCTAGCCATGTGTGGTAGGTACATGCTTTTAATCCCAGAACCCAAGAGGCAATAGCAGGTGGATCTCTGAGTTTGAGGCCAGCCCAGTCTACATAGCAAGTTTTAGGCCAGCCAGGGCTACGTGGTGAGACCCTGTCTCAAAAAAAGGGGGAGGGGGTTGGGGGAGGCTAGAGAGATGGCTCAGTAGTTTAGAGCAGTGGCTGCTCTTACAGAGGACCCAGGTTCTGTACCCAATATCCACATGGCAGCTCACAACTGTCTGTAACTCCAGTTCCAGGGACCCAATACCCTCTTCTGACCTCCACAGGCACCGTACCACACCATGGGTACACTTACATGTATGCGGGCAATACACATATACATAAAATAAAATAATATTTTTTAAAGTACTCCTCCAGAGCTAGTGGTATAGCTCAGTGGTAAATAATCTGCTTGGGATGTATAAGGCTCTGGATTCGATCTTTAGCATCCTATGCCCCCTGAAAACTTTTTGGTTTTCTTTTTCTTTTTCTTTTTTGAGAGGGTTTCATTGGAACTTACAGCAGTCCTCCTGCTTCAGCCTCCAAAGTGTAGGGATTACAGGCATACACTACCTCACCTGACTAAAATGTTCTGAGATAATTAGCCTGGTGTCTGGCCTGCTGATTACTTATTATAATTCTTTCTTTCTTTCTTTCTTTCTTTCTTTCTTTATTTATTTATTTATGCATGTTTTGGGGTTTTTTTGTTTGTTTGTTTTGTTTTGTTTTCCCCTATGGCTCCAGCTGGCCTGGAACTCACTGTGAAGACCAGGCTGGCCTTGAACTCACAAAGATCCGCTGGCCTCTGCCTCCTGAGCTCTGGGATTAAAGGCATGTGTCACCACACCTGGCTATAATCAACATGTTTTTACAGAGTGCCTGGTCAGATCCTGACTTTTAGAAATTAGTATCAGACTGAAAGAAATGAGTAAAGAAAAGCATCTGTTCTCAGGGAAATCACAGTCCCCTGCTGCTGTCTAGGGCTGCACAATGAGAATCCTGTGGCCTCCTACCCACTGTGCCAGGGCAGCTTTGTCCATCTGCCCGGTGTTTGCATTGCCATGCTCATTGTGACCACCTTTACAAAGCCTCTGCCTCCTTATGAGCTGCATTCTTTGCCTAACATGCTGCTTGGCATGCAGATGGTTAGAACAAATGAATTGAGAATTCTTGGTAATTGAAACAAAATCAAAGCAGCAGACAGCAGACTGTATATCTTTTTAAAACTTAATTTATCTCTATGTGTATGAGTGTATTGCCTGCATGTATGTAAGTGTACCTGTGTTGTGCAGTGCCCACAAAGGCTAGAAGAGGGTGAGTGATCTCCTGGAACTGGAGTTATGGGCAGTTGCTAGCCACCATGTAGGTGCTGGGAACTTCATGAACCCAAGTCCTCTGTGAGAGCAGCTACTGCTCTTAACTCTGAGCCACCTCTCCAGCCCCCAGAGTGGATATCGTAATCTCATACAGCTTGTCTAATAAAGCTTATACTTCCTATGTATATTAATAACAATAATTTCTTTTCTTCTTTACTTTTGGCACTAGCACAAGTGGTTCTGACAGCTCTCTCTCAGACGGTCTTCCTGTTCACCTACTGAACATAGCAGATGAGGTAAGAGTGTGTTGATTCTTGCACCCAACCAAAACATTGCAACCTTAAAAACAAAACACTACAGGACAGTTGGGCAAATTTTCCAACTGTCATAACATACAGAAAATATAGCAGTAGGCTTGGGGATGTAGCTCAGTAGTAGAACACTTGCTTAGCCTGTGTGGATTCCAAGTTTCGGCCCAATAAGTCAAAAAAGAAAATAGTTGGGCATCATGGTACACACCCTTAATCCTAGCATTTGAGAAGCAGAGGCAGGCAGATCACTGTGAGTTCAGAGGCCAACCTGTTCTACATAGTGAATTCCAGGCTAATTAGGGCTACATAATGAGACCCTGTCTCAAAAGAAAAGGAAAAAGGAGGGAGGGACGGCAGGAAGGAGGGAGGAGGGAAAGAGGGAGGAAGGGAAAGTGGATAAGGAAAGAAAGAAAGGAAAGAGAAAGGGAGGGAAGGAGGGAGGGAGGAGGGAAAGAGGGAGGAAGGGAAAGTAGATAAGGAAAGAAAGAAAGGAAAGAGAAAGGGAGGGAAGGAGGGAGGGAGGGAGGAAGGAAGGAGGGAGGAGGGAAAGAGGGAGGAAGGGAAAGTGGATAAGGAAAGAAAGAAAGGAAAGAGAAAGGGAGGGAGGGAGGGAGGGAGGAAGGAAGGAAGGAAGGAAGGAAGGAAGGAAGGAAGGAAGGAAGAGAGCAATAGTATGCTCACCAGTTACCTTACTCTGGAGTATTGCATCATGTTCTCTATAAATGTCTTGCTTTATTGCTAGAACTGCTTCATGGTAACACTAGAACTGAATCTCTCTTTTTTTAAATATTTATTTTTATTTTGTGTGTATGAGTGTTATGCCTGCATGTAAGGAAGTGCATCCATGTCATGCAATGCCCAGGGAAGACAGAAGAGGCTGTCGGATCCCCTGGAGCTGAAGTTACAGACAGTTGTTAGCTGCCATGTGGGTTGCTGGGATTCGAGCCCAGGTCTTCTGCAAGAACAGTCAGTGTTCTTAACCGCTAAGCAATCTCTCCAGCCCCAGAACTGAATCTTTTTAACCACACAACAGTGATCAGAATTATCCAGCCCTGACTTTATTGCATAAGTCATCTGGTTTTGTATTGTAATCACAGACATTTGGTTATTGATATAGATGCCTATGTGGCAGCATATCCATATTAGTGGGATTCAGGTGCAGCCTCTGGTAGAGGTGACTGAGCTGTTGATTCATTCTCCAAACCAATAAGTAAGGGCTACATACCCAGCTACGTTGTGTAGCAATTGTTCCCATTGTGACTGCCATGTGAGGGTCCCCTAGTTAGCATCAGCTCTTAACTTGACACAGCCCAGAGTTATTTATCTGAGGGAGTCTCAACTGGGGGATTACCTGTGGGCATCTCTGGAACATTTCCTTAATTGTTAATCAGTGGAGAAGGGCCCAGCCTCCTGTGGTGGTACCATCCCTAGGCAGGGGGTCCTGGGCCACCAAAGGCTGAGCAGAAGGTAGGGAACAAGCCAGTAAGCAGTGTTCTGTCATGGTTTCTGCCTTAGTTCCTGCTTGAGCTCCTGCCCTGACTTCCCTCAATGATGGACTGTGACCTGGAAGTATAAGCCAAATAGACCCTTCCTCCCCACATTGCTTTTGATCATGTGTTTATCACAGCAGCAGAAAGCAAACTAGAACACAGGTAAGTGTAGCTCTACAACCCTCTGTGACCATTTTCTTTGTAATTTCTGAAACAGTTGAATCAGAAGACGATGTTGTTAAAGAAGCCAAAAAAGAAGCGACTTCAGACTAGGAAACAGCGAAATGAGAAGTATCAGAAAAATTATTTGATGCGGGAGTTAAAGTTAAGAGAAGATGCTCCAGTAAGCAATCCCTGGTGCCTACTTCTGTCTGGCCCCTGTGCTCATAGGTGAAGCAGGAAATGGGTCTAGAGTTTACTCTAAACCAGACATGGTGATGGGAGGAGAGGAGGGCTTTCTATTTTGAGGTCAGAGCCCTTCTGCAGGTCTTCTGAATATGAGCAGATTTCAGCCTTGTCCCATTGGTCTTCTGCATTCTGCTCAGACACAGCAAGCCAGGTTGTGACTAAGGCTGGGTTTACATAAAAAAAAAGAGGTGATGTTGAAGAGTGGTGGCTAGAGCTCAGCCAGAGTTGCTGGGGGGCCAAGATGATGGTCAGGACTAACCTAAACTCAAGACACCTTTCCACCTTGCTCCTAGCAGCCATATACACCTCCCCTGTCTAGACCTTCTACTTTCTAAAGACCAAAATGTTTTCAAGAGTGGGAGTTTGGGGCTGGAGAAATGACTCAGTGGTTAAGAACACTTTCCTTGCAGAGGACCCAGAGTTTGATTCCCACATGGTGGCTCATAACTGCCTGGAACTCCACTTACAACACCCTCTTCTGGCCTTAGACACACAGGAAGTGCACATATTTATGTGCATGCAGTCAAAACATTGATTTACTAAAAAAATTTTTAGCCGGGCATGGTGGTGTAAGCCTTTAATCCCAGCACTTGGGAGGCAGAGGCAGGCAGATCTCTGTGAGTTCAAGACCAGCCTGGTCTACATAGTGAGTTCCAGGACAGCTGGGGCTTCAGGGAGACCCTGTCTCAAAAAGACCAAAAAAAAAATTTTTTTAAAAGAATGGGCATAGGCTGGGCATGGTGGCAGATGCCTTTAATCCCAGCACTTGGAAGGCAGAGGCAGGCGGATCTCTGTGAGTTCAAGGCCAGCCTGGTCTACAAAGTGAGTTCCAGGCCAGCTGGAAAAGACCAAAAAAAAAAAAAGGGCATTTCACTGTTGGGTAAATTGGGTCAATAAGGAATGAATCAACTGAAAACTCACTCAATCTTTGTAGGGAAGGATAAAATTTGCTTCTACTCTGCAAAAGCAGCCTACTTCTTTGAAAAATCCAGAGAACTCCAATTCTTCGATAAAGAGAAATGAAAAACCAAGGCTCACCGAGGTAGTATTTTTGCTTGACTCTTTGACAAACAAATGCTCTAATTCCACCAACGAAAATGTCTGTTCCACTAGGTGAAGAGTGCAGTAGCCATTATATGACCTTGCGGTGGGGATGATGCTAACACTGTTTTCAATTACAAACTACTCAAGTCTGATATCAAATATTGATGACTTCTGGCTTACATCAGATAAGAGGCTAGTTACCGATCCATGCATGCATGTATACATCCATATATTAACTGATTTTATTGTATTCACTATATGGCAGGTCCTTTACTGGACAATGGGAATGCAGCATTGAACAAGATGCTGTCCTTTACCAGGCTTAGTGGCTCACACCTTTAATCTCAGCACTCAGAGGCAGAGACAGGCAGATCTTTGTAAGATCCAGGTCAGCCTGGTCTACACAGTGAGTTCCAGGCCTGCTGAGACTATAGGGAGACCCTGTATCCAAGAAAAAAAAAATATTATCCTTTCTTCAGAGACCTTAGAGTCTGGTGGGGATGCTAACAAGTAAGCAGGAAGTTATGTTACAGAGGATATAGTGGCAATGCTGAGGAGAGGCAACACTGAGGAGAGGCACTCAGACATTTTGTGGCTACGAAATCTTTGGGTATGTTGGGAAGTGGAGGCAGGGGAGCTAATGAGTTCAAGGTCAGCCTGTGCTACATGAGACCCTATCCCAAAAAGGAAAAAAATAATAAAGCAGGTTTAGAGAGGCTGGGGATATAGCTCAGTGGATGGACACTTGCCTAATGTTGGGCCCCCGGTCTGGGGTACCCAACGTCCACGGAAGGTCGCACCCCAATGACTCAGTCCCAAGACCAGGAGATGCAACAAGCAAGAGGATTTAATCGTTTGCACAGACGGGCTTCTGCCTCACTCAGAGAGAGAGCAGCAGCCCAGAGCTCAGCTTACAGGCTTCTTTTAAAGGCAAAAACCACAAACCAAAACCGGCAGCAGTGGGAGGGGGCTGGCAGCAGTGGGAGGGGGAAGTTTCGGGTGGTCTTCAGCTTGTGCACAGAGCATGAAAAGGTCAGCTTTTTCTCAGCAGTTAGATTTTACATCTTACTTCCTTGTACAGCTTCCCAGAATATTCTTCTTTGGTCTGGGGGACTTGGTTTGAATCCACTTTGACCTGGGGGGGGCTTTAGTTTGATTTCATCACTAGTATATGCAAGGCCCTAAATTCAATCCTCAGCATCACTTTTAAAAAAGCCTGTATTTTTGGAGGGCAGGGGACTGGAGAGATGGCTTAGCAATTAAGAGCACTTATTGCTCTTGCAGAGGACCCAGATTCAGTTCCCAGCACCCAAGTACTGGTAACAACTGTCTGTAACTCCAGTTCCAGGGGATCTGATGCCATTTTCTGACCCCCACTGGCATTGCACAATATGGGCGCAATATGGGTGCACTTACATATAGGCAAGCAAAATACTCATACACATAAAATAAACAACACACACATATATGTATATACAAAATAGCTGGGTATGATGGTATATGCCTTTAATCCCAGCAGAGGCAGGCTGATCTCTCTGATTTCAAGGCCAACCTGGTCTACATAGTTCCAGACCACCCAGGGCTACACAGTGAGACCCTGCCACCAAAAGCCACAAATAACATATGTGTGTATGTATGTATTTATGGGCTAGGGATGTTAGCTCAGTGGTAAAGTGCTTGCCTGGCATGCTCAAAGCCCTAGATTTAATCCCTAGCACCACACATACACTCAGAAAATGGTTTTGATACAATAGTGGCTGATTCTTGGGTGCAAAAGCCCTCCTTGTGTGGAATACTACTCTGTGGTTAACATTTGTCCAATGAGTACAGTGAGGTCCCACTGTACTATGTACCCCTGGCTGGTTTGGAACTTGCTATGTAGACGAAGCTGGCCTCCAACTCACAGAGATCTCCTGCCTCTGCCTCCCTCTAACTGGGATAAACGGTGTGTGCCACCAGACCTGGCCCTTTTGTTTCATTTTGCTTTTTGAGGCAGGGTCTCATGTGCCCGAGCTGGCTCAAATCTACTGTATAGTTAAGGATGCCTTTGAACTCCTGATCCTCCAGTCTCCCAAGTGCTGGGACTACAGACATGTACACTCATACTCGGCTCTTTTTGTTGTTTTTTGAAATGGTTTCCTGTGGTTTGAGCTGACTTCTAGCTCACTGTGTAGCTGAGTATGACCTTGAACTTGATCTTCCTGCCTCCACCTCCTACATGCTGGATTACAAATGTGCATACCATATCTACCTCTAAAATCAGAAACTTTTTCCTTTCTTTTTATTAATTTTTTTAAATTGCTGGGCCTGGTGGTGCATGCCTTTAATCCCAGTACTTGAGAGGGAGACCCTGTCTCAAAAAAAATTTAGCCCACTGAGTTTAATTAAGGTTGCTTGTATGTGCATGGGTGTTGAATTATTTACTGGATCGTAGGCACTTCCCATTGGCAATACTACTGAAGAAAAATGTCTCCCACTCCCCCAGCAGGCATTAAATTCCAATAACTCCTTAGCTAGAGGTCAGAATATTAAAGTTTTTGAGGGACATGAGAGACATGACACTACAAGTGGAAAATTCCATACCATAAAATTGGTATGTAAAACATTATTTACAATAATTTGTTTTGTGTTTTGACATGGAACTCCATGTATACATATATAGACCAGGCTGGCCTTGAACTCAAGAGAACTACCTGCTTCTGCCTCCCAGTGCAGGGAGATCAAATGCATGGGCCACCATGCCCAGCTTATTTACAATATTATATAAGGGCCAGAGGGATGACCCAGCAAGTAAATGTGCTTGCTGCACAAACTTGGCAACCTGAATTCAATCCCCAGAACCCACATTGGAAGAAGAGAGCTGACTTCCAAATAAATAAAAATTTTAAGATTATATAAAATTACCTTTAAATGGGAGCTGGACAGATGGTTCTGTGAGTCAAGGATTTGTAATGTAAGCATGAGACTTGAGCTCAGATCCCCAGCACCCACATAAAAAGCCTAGCATGGAACACAGAAATGTAATCCCAGTGCTGGGAGGCAGAGACTGGAGGATCCCAGGGGTTTGCTAGCCAGTGAGTCTAACCAGTTGATGAGGTCCAGGTTCAGTAAGAGATCCTGCACCTGATGTTGACCTATAGCCTCCATATGTCAATGCACAGATGCATGCATATGCATGCACATGAATATCTCATACACCTATACAGATAAACACACACACACACACATATACATGCTACCTTCAGGCTGTGTGTGTATAAGTGCACATATGAAATATAAAGAGGGGGCTGGAGAGATGACTCTGGTTAAGAGCACTAGCTGCTCTTGCAGAGGACCCAGGTTTGAATCCTAGAATCTACATGCTGGCTAACAACCGTCTGTTAACTCCAATTCCAGGGAATCTGAGACCCTCTTCTGACCTGTAAGGGCATTGCACGACACGGGTGCACCACATACATGCAGACATAACACTCTTACATGTAAAATAAAAATAAATAAAAGAAACATAAATGAATTTTAACATTTACATGGGGAACCCATCTACAGGGTATCTCATTATGTGTGTGCATATATTCCAAAATCAGAAAAGATATCTGAAATCCAAACACTTCTGGTTCCAAGCATTTCTGATAAGGGATACTCAGTCTGTATTGTGAGAGTT